CATGCGTACCCTATCGATTGTCCGTTTATTCTTTCATTAGTAAGCAGTTTTCCTTTGTAACAAATGTTAGAGTATTTTTTGTTTATCAAATTTGGTGCGAAGTATTGGGCCAATGGTTGCTTCACAACGTGGAGATACTATCATATAATGTTTCATATTAACTCGAGATCTCGAGAAAATTTACATAGGATGTCAATATCTAGAGAACATTAACTCGAATTTTCGAGAAAATTTACAAAGGATGTCAATCTCTCAGGAAAATTATCAGGGGACTTCGAGAACATTAAATTGAGATCTCGAGAAAATTACCAGGTGATCACGGGATTTCGATCGCAGGATCTCGAGACCTTCTACAAAATTTTGCATGACCCCTATCGCAGGATCTCGAGACCTTCTACAAAATTTTGCATGACCCCTATACGCTTCCGTACATAAGTGGGTAGGGTTATAATTAAATATTCAATACTTAACCCTAAAATTAAAGGAAATCTATTTCGACTTTACTTTTGATTTATTAAAAATTTTGTGTGGGGGGGGGGGGGGATTTATGAACTAGAAAATAATTATCTACCTGTAAAGATGCTGGACTTTGAAATGTAAATCAACAATAGTTGAATGAAGTTTATGGATATAATTTCTAACATCCCGTCTGATTCCCTTCAGTGATGGTTCTGAAAGTGTAACATTAAAATAAATTTAAAATACGAAATATACTTTAATCGGATTCGGAAAGGACCGTCCGACATACCCCCATACCTCTCAGTGATAGAACGAGTGCCATAATATACTTTACTATTCGGAAAGAACTGGCTCAGATACCCTCATATCTCTCAATGACAGAACGAATACCCTAATATCTCTCAATTATAGAACAAATACCCTAATATATCTCTCATTGATTGAACAAATACCCTAATATCTCTTACAATGAGAGGAAATATAAGATGAACACAGTTAAACGCATTAATTAGAAATTACCTGAAATATCGCCCATTTTAGTTCCTGACTTCAGAGTAGTTTGGGCGCATTTCCCGTCCATTTCGGATTCAACCTCAGAACTTGGCTCTGACTCGGAGTCCGAATAAAATACATCCTGTAATACTTCACTCGGAATTGGTTCCGGAAGTCCTGTAATAACAGAAAGAAAACGTACTTTGATTAAAATGAAAATGGTGACATAATTTATAATTTAATTTATAACTGATGTTTTATTTTTCTTCCCGGGTGAGAAATATTTTTAACTATAATTAATTTTCTAGGACGCTGATGTTTAATGAGACTTACCAGTAAGTAATCTAGGAGATTAGACTATTACGAAATTTACTAGTAAGTAATCTAGGACAGAAATGTTTGTTGAGATTTCTGCTTACCAGTAAGTAATCTAAGACAAAGACTGATTTATAAATTTACGAGGATATGGTCTTGGAAACGAATAAGGTGTAATTGAGTAAGTTACTAACTATCAATTTGTCAAGGATACGGATCCTGGTAATTGGTCTAGCAGAGGGACTAAATGATAAAGACACTTACCGATAATTGGTCTAGGAGATGGACTAACTGATTAAGACACTTACTGGTAATTGGTGGATAAGACGTAAAACTTACCAGTAATTGGTCTAAGAGTGGGATAAGAGGGAAATATTTTTTAAAAACTGTCTAGGGGATGGATAACGCCTAAATTATTTAATAAACTTACCCGTAACTGGTCTAGGAGCTGGATAAGGAGTATCTTCACCGTCTTCTCCTAGAGATGTCATAGCTTGGTGTCCTTGTAATACTCTCTTCTTAACACTCTGCCACGAATCTCTTCTGAAATTTTAAAATACAAACTCATTTAAAATACTTCCATATTTTAGAATGTCTTCGTTTGTGTTTGTTCATTTTTGAGGAATCTGCTCAAATAGGAATAAGCATAGACAGATATAAAAACTAAACAAATGAATAGTTACGATTTTAATTACGTATATAAAACAACAAATACAAATCATAGCTATTTACGATTAATACAAAGGTAATATTAAATTTAGGAGGACCGCACCACAGAATATCACAAGACAAACCCGCGGACAATACACACAATATACACAGACATTGTAAACACTAAACAACTGACGCATAATATCAAATCAAGTGAGCGTCCACTGCGCTGAGAATCATGGTGTAGATATTATTATGTATTTATTTATTTAAGGTTTGTGTTGACATTCAGTAAAGATATAAACACCATATTTTAGAGAATAAAAATAACGTTTCATTTTCACTTACCTTGAATCCATAGTTATAACAAAGATGATAAAATCTTTGAAAAAAAACAACTTTGATACAGAAATAGCAAAATAACGTCTTCCTAATTCTGAAACTCGTAAAGTTATGATAGAACAATAGAAATGACGTCATGTTAATTGTGACGTCACAATGGCCAGTTAAATTTATGGTTTTTTTTCTTTCTAACGCTGTTTATTTATTAAATATTATTTATCTGATATAAATATGAAATATATAAATATGGGATCTGAAAACAAGACGGGGTTTATATAAATTCATCTCCCGTTCATCATTTGAACAAAAGGTCCCCTGTACGCATTGACGTGCACGTAAAAGAACCCTTGGCAGATGGAATTTGAAATAATACCGCTGTCAGGGTAAACTGTCCCTGATACCCGTCTTCATTAGCCCATGCGGTGTAGAAAAGTAGGCCGTTAAACCCAATTTCATTTGGACCCATTATATTGTAAACCACCCAGTTGACTCAATGACAGACCTTATGATACAGCGCGCACGTGCTAACCATTCGGCCATCCAACCCCCACTATAAATAAGATACAAGACTTTATGAAATACAGTTACATAAATTAATGGGGGAACTTTTCTATGGTAGACCAAACAGCTCTTTATTCAGTGTTCTTAATTCAGGGGGGGGGGGAGGGGTAGCCGAATGGTTAGCACGTGCATGCTGTATCGTAAGGTCTGTCATTGAGTCAACTGGCATAGTTTCGATTCCCCGGTTGTTCGTGACAGGGAGTAGGGTCGCCTGTCCAACCTCGCGGGTTTTCTGCGGGTCCTCCGGTTTCCTTCCACTGCTAAAGACCCATACGCGCAAGCGAATTATTGAAATAAAATTGAACCATATGTTAGTCCCGAAATGACCTAGTTTGTGTCGAGTGGACGTTAAACCCCATCTCTCTCTCTCTCTCTCTCTCTCTCTCTTTCTCTCTCTCTCTCTTCATCAGACAATACCGTTCTTAAATTTTAAATCAAGTATTAGTATATAATGTTGGTTTTTTTTGTGTTTGAGGTGTATGACATCAGAGAATAGTTCAATCGGTAAATACAGCGACCTGGGCCTAATCCGCGTGTCCTAGAATACGCCTCATAGTTCTTTTAAGATACTTATTTATATATATTTTTTGTGTCTTAAAATCAATATGCAAAGACGTATATTAACATTATATTAAACATAAATTATGCAAGAGCTAAATCTGTCTATTGCAGGCCTTTCTTTAAGCCTGAAATGTTATCTAAATTATTAATTAGACATTAATTAACTTATCAAGACCATAATCAACTCTCGGTGCCATCGGTAGCCTGCGATTTTTAGTGCATTTGAATACGCTTTTTGATGGATGATTTAACGTAAAAATGGATAATGGAGACTTTCTTTATTATCGTACCAACGGTTGTAATGACGACCGAGTCTAGCCTAAAGCAACTCGACTGAAATTTTCTGCATATTCTGTTTTCATTATCAATTTTTAACTATTATAGCGAGAACTATCAGCTCTTTATCTAATCTTACTTAATGCCCCTTTAATAAACGTTGCATTGGTTATTTTAATAACCGTGCACGTGCAGTCGACACAAGGGCAAACTAGGTTATTTTAGGACTAACATATGGTTCAGTTTTGTTAAATTAAATCGCTTGCGCGTAGGGGTCTTGAGTAGTGGGAGGAAACCAGAGGACCCGGAGAAAACCCACAAGGTTTGACAGGCGACCTTACTACCCCTTGTCACGTACAAGCGGGGTCTCTAAACAACGCCACTTGACTCACTGACAAACCTAATGATGAAACGCGCACACGTTAATCTTTAAGCTCATTATAAATAATTTGTTTTTCACGATTAAAATTAATTATATATTTTTTGAGTATTTCTAATGTTTATGACAAAACATTTAAGATTATGAATAGGAATCAAAGGGGAAAGCCTAATTTTATTTTTCGGCAAATTTACTTTTTATCTTTAAGCCCATTAATAATGATACATTTTTCGCGATTAAAATTAATTATATATTTTCTGGGTATTTCTATGTTGTGTTTTAAGGTAAAAATTTACGATTAATAACATTCTGCACACAGAGAGCTATATACTTCGAGAATATATCTCTACCCTCAATGACCGCAATATCTAAAGACTATTTTGTAATGCGGTTCTACTACATTTCATATCTGTCATAGATACAAAGACTAAATAAACCTTTTTTATTTTAATAAATCGAAGCGAAATAAATACATCTTTAAATTCGTGAATTATAGTTAGTGTTTTCGACTAAAATAGTCGATTTAGGAATTAAAATGTAGGTCGACTAGCTTAGCATCTGTTCTCAAGCGGAGATAGTTGTAGACAGACAGCGCAAGTTAAGTATGGATTAATAACAGACATTATAGATAGATGGTATATTTTAAGAGCAGTAATTGGGCTTGTATTTTTAGGTTCCTCGGAATTTTACGGCACGGTTTCCCCTTGTGAGTGATGCAGGATGGGGGGGGGGGCTGACAAATCAGTGTCTACATGTAGTCGTTGGGATGTCTCGAAAAACCGAGGTCCCATCTACACATTGAGTGGGCGTTAAAGAACTCTTGACAGTTGGAATTCGAAATAAGAGTAGGTTGTAACACATCTTTCCAGAAAAATTTAACTCATAACACACTGAATTATCCCAGTAAGTGCAGAAAAGTAGGACGTTAAACCCCTTTCCATTTCATTTCATTTTGTATTTTCAGGTAAATTCAACTTGTATGTCGGCGGTCAGCAGCCAAACCAAAAGATGAATATTGGATCAAATGTTTTACCAAGTCACTTCCAGGTTACGGGGTCGAGGAATTTAGGGCAATATTAATTATTTTAAAGATGTCATTTTTTGTTATGCTAAATACTTGTGTTTTACTCTTTAAAAATAAAAACATACAATACTGGTGTATCCTTGAGTTAATTCATCAATTATTCAAGGAGTTATCGTTCTTGATGGAGGATTTGAAAGGGATGCTTAATTGTCAGTCCCGAACGTTCCGATTTGACAGAATTGCAATCGAGTGACTCGAAATTCGGTCCCGATGTTGTCATATACCAGTACATCATACATCATCGTCCTCCTCTAGAGGCGTGGTGGGGATAGGGAGAGAGCCCTATAAGTGGAATAGCCCAAGGCCTTTCTTCATCTAAATCCTGGACACGCTTGCTGATATGAATGTCAGCTTTTTCAAAGTGTCCCTATTGAATACAAAACAGCTATGTTTATAACATTAAAATCTCAGCTTATGAGGAATCTTTTGTGCAGGTTGGTATGGTCGTTAATTTTAGGGCCCTTTGATGCTATGTGCTTTATTCTTTCCCGAAACAAAGCATCTTGGCCTTAGCCTCGGTCCAGAAGAAAGTTAGACTACTTTTATAATTAACCCCACGTCAAAGCAACTTGCAGTTCTCGAGTCATTCCATTTATTATCGACGTGTTCACAAGTTGTCTCATATTGGAGTTCGGACACTTTGCCAGCGGAAGGATAAAGTAAAAGGGGTTATATTAAAGTTACAATTTCATATTTTCAAAGAAAGTCAAAACATAATTATTTCTATGTCTTTTGCTCAATAGGTTGTCAACTCACTATTATAGGATCTTTCTCAGACTTAAAAATCTTCACTCCGGAAATAATAACACAATTACCTTCGAATTACCTCCCTTGTTTTCTATTCCCCACCATGGAATAGCTATCTTCAAACGTTTGAATTTGAAGTTGAAAATGATATTTTTGCCAATTTCTCAACTGGCAGTCCAAACTATCTATTTTCGTCCCATCTAAATGACTATATATACGTTGTCCCTTGCCAGGCCTCCGCCCTGAATCACTGACAAGTTTGAAAGAGAGAGAGAAATGGGGTTTAACGTCCACTCGACACAAACTAGGTCATTTCGGGACCAACATATGGTTTAATTTTATTTACATAATTCCTTTGCACAATGGCAAATGTATTTACAAATATTACAGGGAACTCTATCGCGTACGATTACAGGGTTAAATAGTCGGAAATACGAACTGCGCATGTCGCCGTGCTAATTTTAGAATATAATACACGTGGCTCTGTCTATCTTTATAATGCGATCGTAAGGCCTAATACATTTACGCACGAAACATGCAAAATTAGACCGTTTTCTTTCGGAGGGGTAATAATTGATGACATTTTCCCCTAAAATTGACTAAAACTCATCAAGAGTTTATAACGCCAGGAACTTTTCTGACAGATGCCATATTCATCATGTTAATCACGTGACCAATGACCTCTAGGTCAACCAGTGTAGCGCGTGAGCCGACGGCAGAGACGAATGCTGGATAGCGAGATTTATGTTGAGAGTGACTTGTCAGTAGGGTCGCCTGTCCAACCTCGTGGGTTTTCTCCGGGTCCTCCGGTTTCCTCCCAATACTAAAGACCCCTACGCGCAAGTGAATTATGGTAATAAAATTGAACCATATGTTAGTCCCGAAATGACCTAGTTTGTGTCGAATGGACGTTAAACCCCATTTCTCTCTCTCTCTTTCAAACTTGTCAGTGATTCAGGGCGGAGGCCTGGCAAGGGACAACGTATATATAGTCATTTAGATGGGACGAAAATGCCTCATGTACACATTGGCGTACACGTAAAAGATCCCTTGGCAGTTGGAATTCGATATAAGAGCTGGCTTTAGCGCCACTGTCAGGACAAAATGTCCCTCATAGTACACTGCCTGGCGTATGCCCGTCTTCATTAGCAGTAGGGCATTAAACCCCATTTCATGTCATTTCTTACAGAATGGATCGAACTAATTGTTAAAATATAAAAATTTATTTCAATATCACCAAAATAATGTCAAATAATATTGCAAATATACAAAATCACGTTATAAAAATGGAACACCTAAATAGAACAGGTTATTTTTGGTTGGGGGGGGGGGGGCGATGTATTTCCTGAAGAAATAATAAATTGCCTCTCAATGGATATAATTAAGACATGAACCCTATATATATATACAATAATAGTTAATATTTACAATAATATACATATTATATAAGTTTATTTGTTTATTTTTCTATTCCATCAATAATACGTGATGTGTGTAAGTTTATTTATGGCTATGGTTATGTCATTTCTTAAATCGAACATAACGGATCAATTGTGCTTAGTTTTCCTTATTCAATATGTTCAATATGTTTTTATACAACAAAATACACCAGTATAAAAATCACATATCTTTAAAACAACATTTCTTGTTTCTAATATAATATATTCAAACAAACATACATACATGTATACATATATTATAAAGTTTATGACCCGTTAAAATTATTTTTGTTTTGTAATTTACTATTTAAATGTGATATAGAGGGTAACTTCTTGTATTTACCAGTATAAGGTCGTTTTGATTGTTTAGTTGTTGGAGGACGTGGTTCATACATTCTTGGTAAGGCTTGTGCTGCTTTCATAAGACTTGGTAAAACGGGTAGTTTTATTTTCTTCGTTAACTTAACACTCCCTTTATCAGTATCTTTAGGTTTAATGGATTTGATCTTTGGCAGGGTCTGGTTATTATTTTTAGATGATGACTTAATGTTTGGACAGCAGTTAGAACAGTTATTTCCAGTAGCAGATTGTCCTTTTGTCTGAGGAAGTAATTTAACTAATCTAGATTTATTCTTGTTTTCTTTGGAAGACGGTTTTGGTGTATCGCCAGCGTAAGATCCGGCGGATTTGATCGTTACCATAGTGGAAGCATAACTGTTTATTTTGGACGTGTCATGATTTGAAGAAGATCTTTGTTTTGGTTTTTTACTGTCTTGGTTCTGAGGAGTGGAGGGATTGTTAGAAACTCTGCCTATTGGTGGAAGTGTTTTGTATTTTCCTAGATTGTATTTTGTATTTTCCTTTATCGATGGAATATTATTAATGGTATTTTTTACTTCCAAGTCGGGTTCATCTTCTGCTGAATCTTCCATAAGGTTCTCTAGTTTTTCAATCTCATATAAAATTCGTTTAACATCATCTATACCTAGTGCATCGACATCGAGGCAGATGGCCTCATCGCTGCCAGACGATAAATCACTGTCAGACGATGCGTCGCTCTCTGACGAAAAATCGCTGTCAGACGTTATCACTTCATAGGTGCTCTGAGTTACTTTTCTAATCCTGTGTTTGGTCATGGCAGGAGATCCCGCTGATGGAACAGGTCGAAGTTCTCTAGGTAGAGGTACCGTGTTGCCGACGTCTGTATTCTTTTTTTGTTTTATATAACCTGGTTTTAAGATATGACAAGGCAAGTATCCATCCGTGATGTTATATGAATGGGTGTCGTTGTCTATCATGGTATATACATAGGTTGTTTCTATGTTACTGGCGCGCCTTTTAATTTGGGTTTTATTCTTTTTGACCGTGTCCGATGTTTTAGGCCCGTTATCTTTGCTGTTGATGTCCGATGATTTCGGCCCGTTATCTTTTCCGTTATCTACCATGTCCAGTGTTTTACGTTCGTTATCTTTCCCATTGATGTTATCTACCATACTTTTGCTCACTCCTTCATTTAATTTGATACTTGCTTTGTACTTGTTAACTGCCGCACACTCTTTCAAATATCTTTTATGAACGTCCATAGTGTAGAATATCTTCTCCTTATCCGAGATCTTCTTAATGCTGCTGCGGCCATCTTCCTTGTTCTCGTTATTCGTGTTCCGTTTTATGGTTCTATCCAAATCTTTACAACTTTCACGCTTCTCCATTTCCTTGGTTTGGCGATCAGCTTTTATCCACGGTCTTCCCCTCTGTGGTCCACTCTTATCATTTTGATCATCAGATCGGGGTCGTGTTATGGCCTCCAGTCGTTTGTCAACCTGCGCCTTCACAGCAGGATCTAATAATGGACTACCACCGTGTACGTTCTTCCCAGAACAAAACTTAACTCTCTTCTCGGTCTTCAGATCCTGAACTGTTATGAATCCATTTTCTCCTTTGTATTTGGAGCATTCCAAGATTTTCCTGAAGAATTGAGCTTCTTTACCAGATTTCTCTACACTACCTTGTAGAATTCCATTTCTCTTCATGCAATCGTCGTATTTTGAATTGAGGTTGTTGTTGTCCCTTGAAGATTGAACGAAGAGGTATATTAAAAATACTATAAAATACATTGAACATTTTTGGAGGCATCTAGAAATTTTTATTACTCGTAACTTATGATGGAATAAACTCTTCAGTTTCCTTTACTCTAAAATTAAAGAAAATATATTTCAATTTCAGATTTTAAAATAATTGTAGGGGCTTCAAGAAATTAACTATTTAAGAAATTATTCACTCTAAGTCTAAAATTAATGGATTTTAAAATATATTGGGCGACATCTAGAAATTAACGGATTATGGAATTTTTCGCTCTCATATTAAGGGGAATCTATTTCAACATTTGATTTTAAAAAAGTTTAAAGGACATCATGGAAAGGAAATCTTTTTCAAAGCTTGATTTTTAAATAATTTTGGGGACATTTTTAGGAGGGGTAGGGCGGGGGGGGGGGGTGTCTAAAAATGAACTTTTTATGTTAATTTCTCACTCCAAAATTAAATGATATATATTTCAACTTTGATCTGGAAGTAGGTATGACTTATTATAAATCATAACCAAGTATAAATTAGAATATATTTACCTGTAAAGTTGCTGGACTTGGAAATGTAAATTAACAATAGTTGAATGAAGTTTATGGATATAATTTCTAACATCCCGTCTGACTCCCTTCAGTGATGGTTCTGAAAGTGTAACATTAAAATAAATTTAAAATACTAAATATACTTTAATCGGTTTCGGATAGAACCACCCGACATACCCCGATAGCTCTCAGTTATAAAA